CACTTAAGCATTTTATATAAAACTGTTGACACAATTGTAATATAATATTTCGAAAGTTTGTCAAACGTAAATATCACAGGAGGCTCATTTAATAATGAAATATAATAATAAAGAACAAAATCTAAAGATATTTCTTTCCTATTACTATAAATCAATTTACCAGTTAAATATAATGTGACGACGTAGGGGAAGCATGTATAGAGTAGTGTGCAATAACCTCTGATTGCCCATGAAAACCCGAAGACATATTCCCAATGGGGTCCTTGGATATATACTTACTAGAATATACAATATAAAAACAAAAAACTTGAAAAAAAACTTTGGAAACTGGAAGATGTCATATAAATAAAATATTAAACTTTAATATTTTCTTTAACTTTGCTAAAAGGAAAACAATAAAATGAAGATCAATATCTAGTCATACTAGTGAATTTAAATATGATTTCCTAACTGTTCTAGTAAATGGGGCTTTACTGAGCTTTTGTAATCTCCAATCTTATTATTTTTTAATGCATGTAGGCAAGGAATTCCAATCATTTATTGCTTTTTGAAAAAAGTTACATTATCTTTCCCATAACTTCTTTGGACTCTAAAATTGTACTGATTCGCCCGAGTTGAATAAGAATGAATGTCTCTAACGGGTACACAATTTTCTTTTATATCTGAAGGGCACTGGTAATTAACAATTGTAATAACATGATTAAGACGTAATTGCTTATTTCTGTTTTTCTACATTTATTAAAGACATAATAGTTAGAATAACATTATTGACACTATCTCTAGGTCCCATACCGTGTATAAATCTAACATTTTTTTTGGACGAATTTGTAACTAATATATGTTGTGAATTGTTAACAGTATATACCACGAATTGTACACAATACATGCTATGAATTGTATATTATATATGCTAAGAATTGTAACCAATATGCTATGAATTGTACACACTATATGTTGTGTATTGCACACAATATATGCTGTGCATTGTACACAATATTAGCTGTGACTTGTACCCAATATTTGCTATGAATTTTACTCCATATATGCTATGCATTGGACCTAATATATGCTGTAAATTGTACTCAATATATGCTATGAATTGTATACAATATACATGTATGTTGTGCATTGGACTAAACCTATGCTGTAAGTTGTACTCAAAATATGCGATGAATTGTATCCAATCTATGCTATGAATTGTACCCAATATATACTATGAATTGTATCCAATATATGCTATGCATTGGACCCAATATTTGCTGTTAATTGTACTCAATATATGCAATGAATTTTACTCAATATATGCTATGAATTGTACACAATATATGCTATGACTTTCACCCAGTATTTGATATGAATTGCATCTAATATATGCTATGAATTAGGCCAAATATATATGGTGTCAATTGTACCCAATATATGCTATGAAATTTTACGAATCGTACTCAATATCAGCTGTAAACATTACTCAATTGTACGAAATATAAGCTGTACTCAAAATATAAGCTATATAGTGTACTCAATCTACTCTATGAATTGATGTCAAATGAATGTAAACTTATTATCTACTTATGCATGGTAAAATAACAATTATGAATAAAATATACGTTTAACTTTGTTTTTCATTTTTATCATGTGTTCACTTGGGGTTTTAGTATGTTTAGTGAAGCGCAAAATGTATGTCAGCTGTCAATATAAAACCAATCGTTCTTTTTTCAATTTTGTCATTGATTTAAATATATATAACAAGAATAATAACAGGAAAGTTTTGAACTTCTCAATTCGAAAGTAAGCATAACAGAAAATAACAGAAATTTCCTTTCATACTTGTACATAGAACATGATTATACAAAATGTAATCATTTAAATATTTCAAATATAAGTTTATGTCAAGTTCAATATAAAATATATTTAACAATTATAAAATTCAAACGTTAGCAATGTACCAAGTATTAGTTCGTGCTAAATGTTTAATTGTGCAAACACAAAACATTTTACAATGATAAAGCAGCATGCCTCTCATGAACATCTTAAACATGTATTTTTAATTAGAGTATTATGTTGTGAAGTGAACAAAGAAGATAACTTACACATACAATTAAGCTAGCACACCCCTAATGGGCACTATAAGAAACTGTAAAATTGACAGCATAGGACAGCTATATGCTTTAAATGTCATCTATATGCAAAATTTAAACAAAAATGACCGTGAGGTTTATGAGTTATCGACATTTTTCTGAACTAAAACTTTGCTATTTAAAAGGGCTTTGCTCAAAAATGATGAAACTCTAAATCTATAATAATATCATTATGAGAAATGTTTTCCTGTTGTTCATTATTAAGAAACAAATAATACCATTCAGGTAAAACAAATAAAACGAGCAAATGATTGTTTCTAAACAAAATGTTTTTATTATGTATACCTAACCCCCACCTGCTTTAAACACTTATTTGACCATTTCCCTATAAAAAAAACCTTATTCAAAATATCCCTCAAATTTACCACAAAGTTTGCATTTTTTTTTCTAAAGGGATATTGATTGGTCTTGCACAATATAAAATACTTTTACCGTGTAGTTTTTTATATTATTAAACTTTTAAAACATCTGGTATCATATTTGCAATTAAATTTGCAATTATTTTGCAAATAAATACCTTCAATAATTAAAATCAAAAACACTTTTTGACTTCCATAACGGATCTGAGAGATACATAAAAATAAGAAAGAAAAGATAGAAAAAAGTTGCCTCTTCTGGGGTTTGAACCCACGCCCCTAAGTTACAATGCAGTTGACAGTGATTCTAGCCTATTTGAATAGGCTCCTAAATGCGTTAGTAACGTATCTCAAATCTTTAATCTTTTTACTATTTCTAAACAATCTTAGTACATTTTGCACACGTTTGATTTTCTTAAAAACATTTTGCTAATTTTGAAGCATGTATATTTAAAAAAGCCTGTAAACCTCGTACAACACTTTCACTAACTTATTCCACTTCACGAGATTGTTCAAACATCTTGAAATATAAAGTTTGAATTTCTCACAAAAATTAGCTTGGGTCAATTAAAACAGAAAAATTTACAAACAACTGTTAAGAAAAAACTGGAATTGAAAATCGTTTTTTTTTTACCATTCTCAGGTCAGGTTTGATTTTGGGATAGTTTTCACATTTAAAATAATTATAAGTGATTAAATTAGCTGAAATTTTGCACAAAAGTTATTATCTCGGAAAATTATTCTCATGTCAAAAAACATCAGAAAAGTCCCTGTAAGAACAGACTTTTATATAATATGTTGTAAATACAAAGCTCTTTTGACTTCTTTTGTGTTGAGACAAAGGATGAGGTAGGATTATGTAAGTCAACATTAATTTTATTGTAGAGAAATCTGTCTCAACGTAAAAGAAAACACACAAGTTTTATTTGGTAAATGTTTAACAACGTCATATGAGTATATTTTGTAACGCAATTAATGAGAAAAGTGTTCTACAAGGCAAAACATCCTTCTATTTTTAAAGAACAAGCATTTTCCTAAAGCATGGATTATGTGTTTTCATTTTTATGCTCCCCGAAGGGAGAGCATGTTGCGCCACCTTTCGTCACGTCCGTCTGTCCACCAGTATTGTCCGAAGTATAACTTGAAAACCATTGCACATAATTTGTTTAAACTGCAGAAGGTGGTAGAAGGCATTTAGACGGAGTGCAGTGCCAAAGAACCATAACTCTGTTTTGCCCCCCCCCCCTTTTAGAAACATCTTGCACAGAGAATAACTTGAAAATCCTTGGACATAATTTTTAAATAACACATTGTGGTGGATGATATTGAGGCGGAGTACAGTGCCAAAGAACCATGACTCTATTTCGCCTTATGTTTTTAATTATATCCACTTTTATAAAAATCTTGTCCGGAGCATAACCTTAAAACCCTTGTTGCACTTTGAATTTTGTCTGGGACATACCTTTGAAACATAGGATGTATCTAAAAGAAGATTTTTTGGTAGATATATCCCATAGAATAGAAGTGCAGTGCAACAGAACCGTTACTCTGCCTACCATAAGTTTCGATTTATTGCCCTTTGCTATTTTTTTCACTTTGAACTTTGTCTCTGAAACCATAAGAGGTATCAACAAGAAACTCTGTAGAAAGATGTAACTCATTCAATAAAGGTGCAGTCCAAAAGAACTGTTACTCTGAACTTTGTCCGGGACATAATTCTGAAACTACAGGAGCAGTACTTTTCTGTATCCAAAACCTATTCGCGGAGCATTACCCGGTTCAAACCAGCTATTGTTATCTTTGTTTTGGTCGATGAATCTATAACGATAGTATCGAGGTCTCTTATTTAAACAGATCACCAAACGGAAAGAACCACTTTTTATTAGGTGTAGACTAACTGTATGACTTTCCGGTAACGCTTTATAATCGTTTAACAATAACATTTATCGGATGATTAACGGACGATATATTAAACACAAATCAATACACAGCAGAATGTGTGTAAATAAAGTTAAAATGATTTTATCAGTTACACAAATTCGTTCAAACATCACAACTACTTTTTCCACAATAACATTTGGTTGGTTTATATATTTCACATACGCTTTCGTAATTGATTGTTATCGTTGCAAACTCTAGAAGTAATCAGAGTCTTGGAAACATCAAAGACAAAAAGTTTATCCGGGAAGAATATAAGCTAAACATTATCTCCGGATCGACACCTACATGACATAAAAATGAATTTGCTGGTAAACTAGGATAAAACTGAATATGTTTAAATCATACATCTAAATCATACATCCTCTTCGCATCATAACCTGGTGTGGAACTAGACGCTCACTGAAATAGCCAAAAAAAAAATGATTTGAAAATATATTTTGCAAGCTCGTGTCCAATATGAGTCAAATACTTGTAATAGTTTCAATAGACAAATTATACGAGACAATACAAGTCCAAGAACACCCCCCCCCCCCAAACAAGAATATCAAACAAATAAAACACTCACAAATCCAAACACTTGTACTTCGCAAAGATGTAGGTTGCCGCTATATCTAAGCATCACTTGAACAAATCGTGCTTCTTCACTTTCGGTGAAGTTAAACGTATGAGTGTCCCCAATCTGACCATCAACTTGCCTCACAATGTCCATATTGTCCTCAGTCGTCCCAAACAATAAATCTAAGTTCGAAGCTCTACTAGCTTCAAATGAAATTACTACCATACAATTACAAAAAGGAATGAGTTTAGATATTTGCCTCATTACAAAAGACTTAATAATAAACTTCCTATTTCCCATGCTTCACTTTAGTCTTCAATTTTATCATAAATATATAGAGTAGAGTTACCATGGTTACGGAAGCTTTACTCGCTTATTCATTGACATAATTATGTTAATAGCAAAAACCTGATTGCTAAAACGATAAAAATATATATCAAACTTTGTAGAACTATTACCACGATGATCTTACTTTTTCTAAATCTAAATGATTTTGTTTGATCAAGAACACACACAGAAAAGGATTTCATTGTATAACGTTATTACAAAACTACTATATACTACGCGCTGTTCAGATTCGAAAATGTTGTTTAAAATCTCAGAAAGTTTTAAGGTCAAACATACCGCAGCAATCCACTCGGTTGTACAACACTACTCTTACAATTCGAAATACTTTCCCGAGATCAACACGCCACCATGACTTGTGATCACTATCTGTATGGAAGCAGGAGTTTCCACTCCAGCGTTGGTTAGTATCGCCATCAACCCCTTTCCAACCGTCGAAGTCAAATTCATAGCTTGACATGTTTGTTGGTTTTCCAAGCGCGACATTTGTCACAGTAGCTGAAATATTCAAGCAATAGTTTTATAAGCATACCCATCATTTATTGGATTTGACACAATTGCAAAGTTTTAGCATGAGAGGTTATTTTTATTCAATTTGTTCTATAATGAATGTTAATCTGAATGGCAAGATTAAGTATATTAAAGATCCTGTCTCACTATTTTTATGGTTTTAAATCATAAAAAAGATGCTCAAATTAAGATTCATCAATATTGTCAATATTGTAGGTTCCAAAAAGCATTATTTATGAAAAAATATTACAGAATTTAACATTTCATGTAAATAAAGATTGGTAATAAAAAAATGTCTATAAAGTTTAAGTTTAATTTTGCAATAAGAAATGAATGCATACATGCATGATTACATATAATATGCACAAATATTTGCAGTATATATTTTACATATTCTTCGATAGTTAAAAATTGTTTTATTTGCATTATTATGTACAATCATATATATACAATTTCACTTAGTGTGGTAAACCATTTTAATCACAACATACAGGATCTTAGTATATGACTTCAGTAAAAGTAGTTATTGAAACTCGTGCTCATGATTCACATTTGTGTTTTAATTAAGAATATGTGCCAATATTACATAATGAAATTACTATTTTATTCAAGTTTCATTTTCTTTAATTTGCTAATATGAATTACCAATATTATTCCATTTAAATGGCTTTCTTTAAAAAATATGTCGAGATACTTTTCAATCTATGTTAGTTACGGTTGGAACAATAGAAAGTTTGCTTTTTATACTTTTTCAATCGGCTTCGAAAAAACAAAAATTTCATAAGAATTTTTTAACATGGTTATGGTAAGTTATATAAGATATTGGATGACATACGTGTACATATGTCACTGGAAATATTCCAGAGTCCATCAGGGAGACATTTTATTCCATGTACTGTTGTTTTTCCGTCATTGCAAACATATTGGACATTGTCATTTACTCCCCATAGGTTTCCATTTACAAAACCATTATCCAGGCGATCAAAGTTTACACATTCTGTAAACAAAAAAATGTGTATTTGTGTCTATTGAATCAAGTCAATTTAATGAAGAGTGTCCATTAGCGTAAGTAAATATCAAAAAGAACTAACACTATACTGTAAGTCTAACTGTTATTTGATTTTATATGAACACACAATCCGGGAAAGACAATATTTTGTTTAATGCTTTACTTAAAAAGTTCATTGTTTATCGATTTCTTGGTCTGTGAAAGTCAATATGTCAAGACTGCATTTGTTATTTGTTTTATATTAAACAAAAAAATCAGTGTCAAGGAGACATACTTTTTTAACAAAAGTGCCATTCCTAAATCGTTTTTTATTTAACAAGTTTCTCTTTTCATATTTCAAATCAAGCAGCATTTTAATCAATCATATATATTTTACAGCTTATCTTGTCTGTTTAAGATCTATTTTTATAACACTCTTATATAACATTCCTAAAATACTTTGTAAGATCTAGATTCTTCAATACCATTTCAATATAATCTATAATATCAATATTTCTGTCCATTCGGGCCGATTTGATTGCTAAATAATGTTCCATGATCTTGTGGTTTAACCCTTTTTCTTAAAAACATGTATTTATATATTTTCTATATATTTATATCTTGTAAAGAAATGACGAGTATAAAATTTGTTAAACCAAGACAAGTCGCGCGCTTTTTAAATGACGTCATTCCCTCGCGCCTTTTATGAATGACGTAGATTATTTCACTTACCTGTTGTTTCGCATCTTTTGTTAGCGGGAATACATGTCTCGTCTGCGTCACATTCTGGACAAGGTTTCTAATGAATGAAACAATGATAACGATTAGTCTGTCTTTACGTCTTCTCAACAAGCCCTCTTATCATACTTTGCAAGTGACAATATAATAGTCTTTATTTTTAGCAATAGTCTTATCCAATATTAAACTTATCAATATAGACCAAATCAGAATCCCTACAGCACCCTAAAATCGTAATATAACATTTGAACCAATTCGATAATATAATTGCAAAGTTATTGAAAGTTTCTTCTTTTATGCACTTATTCAATACATAAATAAATAACTAAACAAATAACCAAATCAAAACGTTAAGTAATTACACTGTTATATTCATTTTTCCACTAAACCAGTGATCTTTCTTAATGCTTAACCTAAGGTAAAAACGTTAGTGACCAGCGAGTAGAATATAACATTATTTTTTCAAATACAAACTAAGGATTTCTTTGAGTGATCATATGAATTCATTGTAGAAATAGATAGCGTTTTTTCTTTGATTTTTTTTATATTTACGTTCTCGGCACAGAAAGGTTAGCGCGTCAGCAATCTAAAAACCTCTACTCGCACGGGTTTTTAACGCGTCAGGGGCAAGTCCTTATCTTCCTTGAGCAGGAAACTTAGCACTGCTCGGTTCCAGGAGCGGATTGAAGAGTGTTAGAACTACAAGCTGATAGTTAGGTCCTAAACAGAAGAAATAATTCTTTACACTAATTCTATTTTGAATATGACAAAACCGGCAAAAGTAGAACAAAATATTATAAAGGTATTCTAAAAAGGACAAATTTATCAGAGGTATAATACTAACACATGCTTTTTTTTGAAAATCTATTTTAGGAAAAGAATCTATGACATCGCTAAAAACATTTTTCGCTTGAAATGTGCCTGTTTTGATAACGATGCAACGTTTTAATGAATAATATGATATTTTAACTGCTTATAATTATATCTTATATATATATGAAAAATGTATGATAGTAAATTCAAAAAATATAAATAAATAAATAAACATCAAAACCAAAGCTACAAATAACAAAAAAAGGTAAAATGTACCTTTATTACATTTATATCTGCCGCCTTAATCTCTACACAACTTCTTTTAACTCTGTCACTTTCTGTTTCGTCAGAAAAGTACAAATTACACTTGTTGAATACCTTAATGTAGTTCAAAGCTTTACAGTGTTGTCGCATTCCACATGCCATAACACACTCTGCCAATGAAATACTTTCAAACGTTATAAGAATGTCCATATCTCCTCGACATTCACGTTTAAAGGTAGTAGAATAAGTAATTTCCACCCCATCCTTACTGAGGTATGAAAAGCCAGATACTCCTTTATAAATACTCAGTAAGAGAACTAGAGGAACCACATCAGATTTTGTCATTTTGTTATTATATTTTTAAAACATTATCTCATGTCTCAAAAAGGAATCAATCATTTAGATAATGTGTGTGTGTGTGTTATTATACAACCAATCTATTTCAAAGTTATGGTAATCACAGCGCTGTTTTAAGCAGTTCTGCCATGCTCTTTCCTAATAAGTTGCTTATGCTTTAGAATATTTTACACTTTTTTCAGCTAAATTCAAGTTAAGATACTGAGCAAATCTTGTTTGACACACGAAAGTTCTAAATCACTGATAAAAAACCACAATGTTTTAAGCACTGCACGAAGACCAACAAATATATTTACATATTAAATATTTACTCCAAACTAATAAAGAAACAACCAGCTTGGCTTTGCATATCGATAGTATAGTTCAATGATCTCTGAGCCACATTTTAGTGATAAAAGGTATAGGAATTGTTTAGATCTAGTTGTTAATTATTTATCAATGTTATCGATATTTTAAAGGGACTCCACAGATGTTTGTTTTGACATAACGGAACTGGAAATAATTGTTCGAGATTAATGTTCCATTTGATGTAGATTGAGGCCAATAACGTGTGTGCCAAATTTAAGATCATTCGCTCATTCCGCTTGTTTATTTCAAGAATAATTATTCTAATTAAGAAATTGGCCCAAAAGTAAAAGGCGTTTCAACGATTGTCAATCAAATATGTTTAAGAATAAAACAAAAATAAGATTTTAAATTTATTGCTGAGTATATTTTTCTTTATTTTATACATTATTTTTTGCGTATCTTTCAATATGAAATGCCCAAGTTGACTTATGTCAGAAATTGTTTTCTAAGGTGTTGGACCTCAGTGGCGTGCCTTTAAAGTGAACAATACGGTGTTATTATTGATTTTTATTTTTAATTTATATTTTACGCCTTACCACATTATTTGCTATAATAACATTATAACTCTTATATATAAAAAAAAAATGCTTTTAAGCGGATAAAGCATAAATCATAACTAATTCACCAAGCATATACAATGTACAACAATTCCATGTTCTTTTAGTCACGTACAATATCATTTTAAAGCCATTCATTTTAAAAAAATGATTTATGAATGAAATATTAATAAAATGCTTAATTGATTATCTACACTTGAAACAATTTTTTTCCCATTTAAACGTCTATCTTTCATATTCATAATAAAAACATTAAAGGTCAGACTATTGTATTGATTTTCCTTTAGTCTTACATTCTAAAAGAATAAAGTCATTTTCATCCAATAACCTGATTTACTATATACTAATAAATGAAATATTAATAAAATTTGATGAAATAAAATGAGTATTTTCATTTTCCGTATTTTCACTGAAAAAAATTTATTTTAATTTAACTGCAGTGAAACATATTTTCCGTATTTTCACTCGTGTCTTGCCGGACTACTTTATTCTTAATTCAGCCAATAAAATAAAAATTAAAGCAGAAGTTATAAGACTTGTAAGGTCAAAAAGGAGAAAAAGTATATACTAAACAGAAAATTCAAGTTTTTTTTCTCTAAAAATACAGGATTTATTTTCATCTTGTGATATTAAAATTATCATATTTCCCTTGTTGTGGCGTCCGCCACTCGTTAAATATTTATTTACTCAATGTTTGTGTTTATAGTAAAAACTTGAATATCCTCTTTATATCTTTGAATATTTCGGTTTTTTGTCCTTTATATTTTTATGCAACCTATGGTATTTGACAATACAGTAACCTGACCTTAACGATTAATATATACTGCAATACAACTCTACTATTAGAACTTTCGTATGGGTAAACAAAAGCTCGTATTGTTATATATGGGCTGTATTTAATGCGGTTGCCGTAAAATGTATGCTAACAAACTCTTACAAAAGCACTTAGCCACAGAAAGACATAGTTCAAATAATGACAGTAAATAAACATATAAAATTCTTTCCCTGTTAAATAAGTTCCTAGTATACATATTTGGAAATCAATTGTCTCTTTCAATTGATAAGTACCGGAATGCATCTGTCTCAAATTGCCGACACTTAACTTGTTCTATAAACTGTATCGACGTAGGTAGTCACATGACCCTAAGTAGGTAAACTTTTACACTGCCCAGCGTTTGTGTTTCAAATACACATCTCGCTACACAGTTTTTGCAGTCGTATTAATTTAAGTACCTGGAAACAATTTGCCTATAGAACACACTGGAAATCGAGCAATTAATTATTACTGTACTGAAATTTTCATTAAAAAGTAATAATACAAAAACTACTTTGTTCGTATTAAAAGGTATAATAATTAATATCGATCAGTCAAATTTTATTAAAAATAAATTATTGACATCAGAAGTGAGAAATCTATATAAACCATGTAATATGGTATCTATTAAAACACACAATTATCAAGGGAAAGACTCAGCCATTTATTACAAACAATTATAGTTATAATACTAAATTTTTTCGTTATACCTTAGTATTAGATTCTAATGACGAAAAAGTAGACGGGAACTTTCCTGCATCTACTTTAAGTATCAAATACGAGGGAAGATCCACATAAAAGGCGTAATCACTATAACGCTGAGACTCACGCAGCATCAATTAAGGGTGAGGATAAAGTGCATGCCGAGAATGAGGTGCAATTTGACTGCTTAAACAAAAACATTGTTCAACTCTAACAAAAGACTACACACATCTGAAATACATTTACATTGCGTTTCAAAGTTTTACTTTCTTTTCGTTAGTTCGACAATTCTTTGCAAAATGTATTATCGAAATTTTGTAGACGTGGATGTTTTCATTGCGCTGATGCAATTTTAGCTTGGATTAAGTAGTCAACAACATTCGGCGTTTAATTATTTTAGAATTTCTCTTTCGTAATTAACATTCTTAAAGTTAAATGTTGTTTGACCTTTATCAAAACACTCATACCGACCTGTGCTTTATTAATACAAAGGTCGAACAGGGTAAGTAAAACTATGGAAATGTCCACTCTTACACTATAATCATACAACTGCTATAAAGTTGTGATGTGTATATCATTTATATCATAAGCAGTTGTTATATATGCTAAAAGCTGAAAGTTATTTTTGTTATTTGTCTTTGTTTGTTTACTGTTTGTTTTTGTGTTGTTTTTATTGTTCTTTTTTGTGGATTTTTTTTTGGGGGGAGTGGTTGTTTTTAGTTATTTAAGGCACGGGTTGGTACGTGATGTGAACCATAGAACTTCTAGATATTAGCTGAATAGCTTTCTCATATGACAAAATTCAACGTTCCTTGCGAGATCCGCAGCTACAGCAATGAGAGGCAAGTGGTTTGAAGTCAACACCCATACCCAATTAGCCATGGTCGCCCCTTCGAAAAACTATATGATAGCTTGAAAGTATGTTTTATTTGAAAGAAACTATTTTGTGTACTTTCCAGATTATACATGCTTTTTCTTTCGTCCAACTGTAGTCATTATATTTTGTGGAATATACATACAGTGCAGTTTCTGTACTTAAAAGTACATTTTTGTATAAAGTATCAGCATGATTTTAAGTTCCTTTCCGAATAAAAGTCCATCATAATCACCCCTTAGTAACCATAAAATGGGATTTATCATTAATCCTATTTTGTACACGTTATTATTTGCCTTGCCTATTTGGTCCTCTTTAAAATCTAAGATGCAAATTCTGTTTTCCAGCAAATGTGATGCTGCAGATAATGTTAACAATATAATTTTTAGGGCAATTAAATTGCTAAACAAATGTTTTAGTTGGTTCTTTTATTTTTCTCCATTATTCTTGTATCTATCTTTTAAAAAGTCTTTGAGGCATTGGGTTTTTTCCTACATTCTTTGCCAATTACCTAATTTTATAATTCTAATTTACAATTTAGATAATTTAACTTTTATCATAAGAGCCTGATCGGTTGGCGTTATGAATACTTGAAATATATAACTTGATATTTAAAAAATATAACAGTAGTTTAACTTGTACTTACAAAATTATTAACACATCGGTATTGAGGGGAACAACCAAAACATAATAACAACTAGGATATGGGTTTGCCTTATAATTAATCATATAAGAAATTAATGCCAAAATGGAAATTAGTTTCTTTAATTAGTTTCTTTAATTAAATAGTTAATTGTTACAGTACTATCTACAGCAACAAGACTGTCATAAAAATACCATTGACCTAGTAAAAAAAACATTTAAAACTGGATAATTACGCAGTCAGTGATTCAGTTACTTATTTGTTTAGTTACAAATAAGTGAGCTATGTCATTAATAGATGTAATATTGAACTCGGCAAATGTTGTTTTTTTTCCAAGCTTTTCTCCAATACAAACATGCCTTTACTTTTATAGCTTCACGGTGCATCACAGATTGCAAATCCACTTAGGAACATCTCTTATCAAACTCCTAGTACCAGATGGTATTTGTGAATGAGAATGACTGTCGTTAATCTTCTTATTTTCCATTGTTTACATTTAAACGTTGAGTAGAACAGAGAAGTGGGCCAATCAAGTCGTTTAGGCCAATTAAGAATTTTAAACAACCTGCAAGACCTTTGTGCAATCGATTTTTTTATTTAATTCATTCATCATAGCTGTTTTAATTGCTTACTTAATTTGTGATTAAACACTTGATATTTTATGGCGTAGAACCAACAAACCTTGTAAATGCATGCATTTTGCTTTTATGCTTTATTTTCTTATTTTGGAACCAGATATTTTGAAACAAGAGAAATGGTTGTTAATTAAACACCCTATTACGCATTGTTTATGATTCTTTATATCATAAAGTTGATGCTCAAATGAAAATATATTGATATTGTAAGTTTTAAAGGCCTGGAATAATTTGTAAAGATATTACCGAATTAAACATTTCGTGTAAATAATTAGAAAGTTGTTTTCGATAGAGTCAAAGCCAGTGTTTGGCATAAATATGAATGCATTAATTTCAACGTTTAATCTTAATGTACATAAGTATTTGCTCTTTCTATTTATCATATTCTTGGATGTTTGGAAATTGTTTTAGAAAA